CTTGTATATTAAGGCAATATCGAGGCAATGCACACAGCATGCACATATGCTAATGCGAAACTGATTAGTTGCAGTCCTAAATAACAATGAGAAGATTCAAACAAACAATACTAAGAGAATTTATAGTTAAATAGTTAGTTAAAAACCAAGATATACTAGACAAATATCTTGTCATTACAGGGAACACTATTTATGATTTGGCAAGTAATCAGGTTTACAATGCATCTTAATATACAAGAAATGTAAATAAAAAGACTAAACGGTACAAAATGAAACTTGTTTTCTAGGAACAGAAAGAAAAACATGTTGTCTTCTTTTAAAAATCTTTCTGACAAAAGTTTCAGAGTTAAATGGGACATTAGACACAAGTTGTTATTTCAGTAAAATATATTTCTTAGTGTTTTCAAAAAATTAAACAATACTTTCTATTCCTATTATGTACATGAATAAATAGACAGATGCAAATAGAAATAAAACAAAATATGGAATACATATGAGTCACCCATTTCTTGAAAATATAGATCAGTGAAGTAATTTATTCTAATAATTCACTTCTGAAAGAGTTCACTGACGTTTACTATGCAACCTTTTGAGCTATAAGTTTTGTCGTACACCAACCCATGAGGGCTAATCAGATCCCCTATCCATAATTCAAATGTTGAAAGAGATCAGTTCTGAAGCAACAAATTGCATATGGACGGGAAGGAACGCATCCCAAACATCCTGACATTATTACGCAATTATAACAGAAGATTCTGAATTTTATCAGTGTCTTCACTAAACAGGACAATGTCATCTGCATATTCTAAGTTGATTAGTGGACCCCCTGGTAGGAGATCAATTCCTGAAAATTCAGTCGACGTGAATGTTATTTCCAGCAGTAGGTCTATGATGAAATTAAACAAAAATGGGGATAGTGGACAGCCTTGTCGGACACCACTTGAGGTTGTAAGATCAGATGACAGTTCGTCATAAGCTCTCACTTGACTGGTAGTGTTCGAGTAAAGAGCCTTCACAAGGTTTATGTACTTCTGAGGTACACCTATCAATGACAGACAATGTCACAGAACTTCTCAGCCTACAGAGTCAAATGCTGCTTTCTAGTCAAGAAAACCTATCATTTTCGGACGCCGATAAGCATATCTGTGCTCGAAAACCAGACGAATAGTGAATATGTGGTCGATACAGACACAATCAGGTCTGAATCCAGCCTGATTTTCTCGTGTTTGCAGTTCACGAGTCTTTGTAAGGTTCCCCATAATTATTGAGGCTAGTACTTTAGATGCTATGTTAGTCAAACTAATCCCTCCATAATTATTATAGATGATTTTGACCCCTTCTTATATATTGAGACAATCAGTGATTGTGACCAGTCGGATGGGATTATGTCCAACTCCCAGATTTTAGTCAGAATATTAGTCAGCCTAGTCGCTAAAGATGGACCACCGTGTTTAAAGATCTCTGGAGCCAATCCATCTGGACCAGCTGCTCTTCCTCGTTTCAGATTACTTATAGTCTTTTGAAATTCAGGTAGGGTCGGGGGACCTACCTCAATGTTCCATTCAGGCTGTCCGGAAATAGTGGGTAGTTGTGCAGTAGCTGAAGGCCAGCTAAACTGCTCCTTAAAGTGTTCCCCTCATCGTCCTAAACGTTTGGGTTGAGAGCAGATAAGGATTCCATCTTTTCCCGAGATTGTCTCACACTTGACTTCTTAATTCCGGTTTCTTTTATTAGTCTGAATAGTTGCCCGGTGTTGCCTACAGCCGCTGCCGTTTCCATCTCTTTTGCTTCGGTTGCTCACCACAGCTCACGATCGTTCCTTAGACTTCCCGTTAACCTAGATCTAATTTGTTTTTGCTCTACATCGTGTTCGGAGCCAGATAATATGAGTTTATGGGAATCTATCAGTGCAATAGACTTAACGAAGATCCATTGGTTTTTTGGAACCCTTTGGTTTAAATCACTGACAGATGTTACTGCTGTTTCCACATCGGTTTGCATGTCTTTCCGAGTAACATCTGGGCCAGTCTTGTTTACAGAGACGGATATCCGTGGGATAAGGCGAGGTGTGCATTTTTAGGGTCAACCTTTTATAACCCCACCCCTCCTTGTGGGAAGGCAGCATTGCTGTTATGCTGGTTGAGGGAGACACTTTACTGCCGTCATACCTGTGTACAGTCAGCAGTACGAATTCGCTTTGGACCTTGGGTTTGCTGCTTTCAGTCTTATCGCTCTTCAACCGACTTGTCTGGCATGGTAGGAACGATTGTTCCAGCCAGTATCGCTCGAATAATTCATTGCGATAGGCAAGTACGACCACTATGCCAAGGTAGTAGCAACAGTCGGGCAAGTAATTTGTATGCTTCTTTAATCAGCATACTCACCTATTGGCTACCAGGTTTTATCTTATGTTTATTATTTATAAACTTTACGTAGTAAATGTGAAATTCAAGGCGCCTATTGAATATTTCTCGAATTTTTTTCTTTGTTAAACCTAGTAGCTAAAATTTTCTTATCTTCTCTGTCTTTTTAGTAAGACAACGGAAAATTTCCCTCCTTCTTTAGCATTGCACAGCATGATACAGATTAGAAACATTCGCAAACAAGATTCAAGGATATTCATCTTAACTGTTGTAAATGAAAGCATTGATTAACGTGATAATAATAATAATAACAATACTAGTAACTATTGCATAAGATTTCTCCGACCACTCTGTTTATAAACTAAAACTGTAATAAAACATGACATTTTATAATGTAAGATTAGATGATATTATTTCTAACCAATTACTATCGAAATATTGTAAAGAGATGAGTAGAACCTGACTAATAATATCTAATCAGTAATGCCTTTTTAGAATTAGCGATTATTTTTCTTAAATGAACTTTAATTGATTATGGATCTTAACAAAAATCCTGTTAGCGACAGTCAGTTCAAATGTATTTCACGCCTTGTCTTTTCTTAAAGAAAATGTCAAGTTATCGACACTATCTTACTGATCTTAAGAAGGATTTACCCATCGTTCATCTGCTTACAAATTACAGTGTTTTGTTCCTAAGAGTTTATGTAGATAGTCTGGTCTGTGTGCATAATACATAATTATTTAACTAAAATAACTCATAATGTCAATGAATAAGAAAAGGAGAATTCAGCGAAGAAAATTTTCTTTTCGACGAAATCATTTACTTAAGCTGTACATTCGTATATATAGTAATATGGAAAATATATGTCTATAGGAGGCTAGAAAAGATTGCATTATAAATGGATTCGACAATAAATAACAAATGAGGTGACGTACTAATCAAGGGGTAAGGAAGAAAATAATTTATGGGTCAGATAATAGTTCAATTGACAGATATGAAGAAAAGCGACAAGCACAAAGGTCATAATAATAATAATAACATAAATAACATAATTATTTAATATTGTACACCTTCTAGTAGATAGCTCCAAACACGAAAACAAAAGAACTAGTTTATCAATAAATTAATCCAGTCTACTTTGATGCGAAGCAACTACGCAAGATCCGACGAAGATTTTGTCGCTCCTCAAAGATTCAGTTAACTAACTTTATTAAAAAAGGATAGATGGATAGAACTTTCTTTGAAATTTTTAACATTACGGAATGACTTAATCTACAAAGCGATCGAAAATCAAGGATCACAGAGACTTCTTCTGTTGTTATTTGATATTATTAATCAACAAAAATCTAAGCTTAAAACTATACGACAAGAAATGTGCTTTCGACTATAGATTTGGAATCCATCGACTTACATATTTAAATTCATTTCATTTGTAGTATACCACACTGATCATTCAGAAAATAAAACTTGAAGTTACAAACTTTGAAATGTTATTATTTTTGGATCCTGATGGGTTTGTGGTTAAATAACTTAGTTTTCAACTAACAGGTTGTTGATTCAAAACCTGTACTAACTTGATCGACTTTGACTATTAAGCATAATGGATAACACCTCATATAAATGATACAACTTCAAACTAACTACATAAACTTGAACTTCTTAAATAACTTGGGGATAGAAAAAAATTAATCACATATTTGGCACCGTTCTATAATATTATGTTTTACATTTAATATCACTGTAATTCGTAAAATTTTGCAGTAATTTATTAGACATTCAATTATTCATATTAGTTTAATATGGAGGATAAAATTTTAAAAACTCTAGAGATCTAATTTATAAATAAACTAGGACATACATTTTATCTATATATAGTTTTATCTTCATCAAAACTGGCACAAGATTAAACCCATGGAAACAAAAAAAACCAAAGGTATACTAAGCAAAGATGAATAGTGGCTAAAAGTGGAATCCAGGACGCGCGTTTCGTCATATTTGGGACTTGTCAGTTGGATCTACCTGCATCTCAGAGTTGATGTTCACTCTGGAACTCGAACTCAGTACCGTTCGCTTCAAACGCCATGGCGTTATCCACTCAGCTACTGAGTCCTGATAGCCACTTGTTTGGGCAATGGGTTGAAGTTTGAATTCATTTAGTATTGTTTGTTTGACTCTTCCTGAATTTCATTGCTAGCAACTATCCATCTTTACTTATAATGCTTATGAATTAAGGCAATATCGAAGCAATACACATATTATGTACATATGCCAATAAGAGACTGACCAATTGCAGTCCTAAGCATCAATGGGAAGGTTCAAACAAACATTATTAAGTGAATTGAAAGGCATATTGTTTTCTCTAAAAAAAGTACAATATTACACTAATGATTTGTATTTCCCTAACATGTAATTACTAGTATATTTGTTTAATAATAAAATTAGTAAAGACAAAATAGTGGTGTATTATATAAACCAATAAAATGTGAATTATGTAATGAAACTTATAGCACTACCTCTTTTATTATTATTATTATTATTATTATTAGCCATAATGAATGTAACTGATCAATGATTGGTGTATTCATTTCAAATTTCATCGAATTTAGCACATAACTTAATCCTGATTGGTTTATAATGATCCATTTAAAAATAAATCATATCAAAACTTAGTTAAGTTATTCTAATGGATCATAAACATTTATCAAGATTCTTTTAAAAACAAAAAATTAAAAAAAAAGAAAAAAATTTTGAGGATGAACTCAAACTCTGTTCCATTTATTGATACATTCTACATGATATGACTTTTAACATGATAACTATATGGGATTTGTTTTAATATTTGGATATATATAAATTATATATCAGAACCAATTTTCCTATATTTGTAAGATATTAATTTGTCCCACGGAAGGAAAATTGTACTTCCATGAACTAAAAGTACCTTTCTTCTTCATGGTGAATAACTCTTCAAGAATAAGCCAAAACTGTTGATAAGTAAGTAAGTAATTTCATAAGTTGACATATAATTCCCATTTAAACATTAAAATTAAAAACACGAAGTTTAACGAAGGGATCTCTTTTCAACGAATTTATTATCAAGCTGTACAATCGTATATGTATATATGATATGATAAGTATTCATGAATAAAATAATGAGAATATAAGACATAAGTAAAGTGGAAATAGAGTAATAATAATAGAATGATAATAATAATAATATTAAGGCCGTTGTAACGATAATGATAAGACGTACTTCTTTTGTACGCATAGTTCTGGCTTGAGCTCATGGATGGTAAGAGCTTTGTCTATTTTTAGGAGTTTGATACGAAGAAATCTAGGTAGATTTGAATGAATCATATAAGCAACCTTAAAATCAGACTATGAATCCGTAGAATGATTACAGTCGATTAGGTGTTCAAGTATAGAACTCTTAACCGCTTTCTTTTCACCCTTGATAATAAATTCGTTGAAAAGAGATCCCTTCGCTGAACTTTGTGTCTTAATTTCATAAGTATCAGTTTTATAATAAATAAACAAAATAGTAGTATTAAATGATGTATATTATTAAATGAAATTGGAATATTTAAAAAATTGGAATTCAGTATAAAGTGTTTGTTAAACTTTGGTGAAACTATTAAACAGCTGTAGATATTAACTTAGTTACAGTACTAAATACTATGATGTATCAATTATAAGTGATTTTTTATTTTTCTTGTTGTTCATATTTAAGACAAAATCGGTCTTGACTGAATGAATACCTCAGTATTGACATTATTTGAAAGTTATATGCCAAGGTTGACAGTTTCTTGTTATTGATATACCGAACTTCTCTTTATCATTCTTTTTCGCCATATATGTATCCTAAGCTGACTTCATAGATATATCCCTTGGTCAATAGTTTTCAGCATAATTAGTACAAATCTAATAATGAAATCCATGAAACATGTTTCACTCTATTCAGGACTTGTCAGTTGGATTTACCTGTACATATGATATAAGAGATTGATTAATGGCAGTACCAAATATCTGCAGTGAAAAACTGTGATCCCTTACCAATACCTTCATAACCGTTGAATACTTCAGTAGCTATCTGGACTTAGTAACACAATGTTTAAACTGTTGATGTCTGGAGCGTTATATACTAGATTCGAATCTCAGTATTAACATGAAAACTATGACGTTAATGTATTTCGATAATGCGCCCCAAATAGAACGAAGTATGCGTCCTGGATTACACTTCTAGCCCCATACTAAATATGTTGAAAATACGGACTTTCGTTATACTTTTTAAGAAAAATTATGAATATGGAATCCTCAATACTTGTCTTTTTTTGCTTGAGATTTATTAACTAAATGTACATGCACTTATGTTTAGATTCACAGTAAGACCCAAACAACGTACCAGTTGCAATAATATTTATTATGTGCAAAGATTTATACATTATAGCTGTTGGTATTCAGTACTGAATTGAACAGTCTTTACCTGTATATAGGTTTGCTGAGCTAACGCTTATATTTTCAAGGAACACTCAGTAAAAGAGTTTGAATTAGAAAAAAAAACTTATGTTTCAAATTCTACTGCAAGAAATTATTATTCTACATTATTACTTCTTTGTAATGAAATTTTCGATTTATAGTATTGGCTGTATTCATTACCTAGTTCATGCCATTTATAATATGATCGTCTAATAAAATCGATTTCTATGACAAACTTATACAAGCTGGTAAAATACTGAAAAACTAAAATAATCTATGCATTGGTTTCTTACCTCGTGCTCTATTTTTGGTATGTGGTTATGCATATACACTACTGGTGATGTTTCAAACTTAGATGAAACGGTTGTGTCAAGAGGTGGGTAATGAACTTTGGATAAACATGAAATATGGATTCACTATTGGTCAGTTTTATTTATTTAGCTTTATTCTCTAATCTTCAGAAGAGGTTTTGTGGAGATTTCAGTATTATCATAGTTGAAATCATTAGTCAATTGAAGCTAAACTGACTTCAAGATACATGTCCTGGAGTTCTAGTGGGAAGCAGTGACCAGTGGAGTTCAACCACGTCTGTTGTGAGATAACAACTCACTGAAGACAATTGGTGAACGGTTGCTCAAACATCGTGGATCAGTTAAAGTTAGACATTAACACCGTTGGATGCCGGCTCAGTGGTCTATCAGTCAAGTGCTCCGGCGGGAGACTGATAGGTCCTGGGTTCGAATCTCGCGAGGCGGGATCGTGGATGCGCACCTCTGTGGAGTCCCATAATAAGACGAAACGTCCGTCTAGTGCTTCTCTAATCTTCGTTGTACAACATTTAATATTTAATATTAAAGCAATTTTCAAAAACTTTACTCATAAAATAACTTCATCTAGATAATGATACCTTAAATACTAACTATTTACATATAATTTTGTTTAGAATTAAACTTCTAAAGTATATTTTTCATAAAGACTGAAATTAATTTACTGAGTGTAATTTTCCAAAACCAACATATCTATAGATTTTAACTTCAGTGATTGATCTCAGGAAGTACCAGATAGCTGTTTTGTCATATTATAAGACTTTTAGGCAGTGAACATACTATACCTTGCCAAAGATTAAATGCAGAACTTTCAGTTTCATGGCGAACACTTTAACCCCAGGTTACTGATTCAGCACACTTTTACTTCCATATATAACTTCAATCAACTTATGATAATGTATTAGTCATTTTCCGATATAATAAGTAGATAATTAACTCACACTTAACACAGTTTCATTGATTGTTTAAGTAAAATCATTTTGTGTTGTTAACCTATAACAATCTTTATGAAACTCCTTAAGAGTTTCTATATAGACTGATTATCACATCACAGTTGAGCATTTTACGGTGAATATAAAGTTTTAATTTTATAAAATCTGCATTCATATTTTACTTCTGTGCAGATGCTTTTCTGTGTGTTCTTTTTTATTTTCTTCACTGTAAATCTACATTAAAGCTTATCACTAACTTAAAACTGATAAAATGACAAAATTGAATTCCAAAATCTATTTTTGTTTTAACAAACTTCAATTAAATTTCTGCTTATAATGATCCCATGATAAAAAGAAAGAACTTATAGATTATATAAAAGACCAGTTGAATCACCATGAGAATCCTATAATAACACAAATGAATGATAATAGGACATACTGAGCATACACTTGCTTATATATGTATGAAAGGATATCAATAACGTCTATCTTTATAGTGCCCCTTCCAGCCATATAGAATGGTGAAGCCTATTAAGCCCTTCTGGAGAAGAGTGCTACATCGAAGCACGGCATAACTACCGGGTGGTATAGCTGTTTTTGTACTGCTTACGCAGAACCATCACATAACACTCACAACCCATTATTTTTGTCTTTTTGTTTTTGTTTTTATTTGGGCAGACTCATTTTTGTACTACTCTTTTGAACCCTCAATATTTATGCAATAACTCTATGTAGCATTCGTAAACGTTCTCACGTACTGGTAGAGTGGTTGATTAGGCCGATCTTCACCACCCGTGATTAACCATTCACGCTAGTTCATGGAAAACGTCCCATGATCCAAGAGGCCCAACAAGGACATGTGAGTTGTATTTTTCACATCATCTTAATTAGCTTAGACAATCTTCATGAACATATAAAAATAAACAGTTTATGTACATTTTGAAGTAAATTGACCTAATTTAAGAATAAATCCTCTGATGACGTAATTCATTCTTAAAACTGAAAATTTTTCGTTTAAACTATATATTGCTTAAGATATTTGAAAGGTCTTTTTTCAATATTATATTCTTTGTTCAATGTTATTTCAAATAACATTATTGAAAAACAAAAGGAAACATGTGCCTAAACCACAGATTTTTCCTTTATCATAATAATAATTAACAAGGTGATAATAATTAGAAAAATATTTTGGGGGGGGGATGGTAATTCTGTGTAGGCGTTTGTTCATATGTTTCCTATATATATATATATAATTTCTTTTATTAAATTGTGAAAGAAATCACTGATCTTGATCTTTAAAAGTAGTTTATGTGTTATTTCTATTAATTTTGCAGATATTTTCGAAGAAAATCTAAAAAAAAAAGATGGACAAACTAGCCGACAAATTCACTTGATGTTATTTCCTTGTATCTTCTTATTGTTGTTTAGGACTGTAATTGATTAGTCTCTTATTGGTATATGTGCATCCTGCATGGATTACCTCGCTATTGCTTTAATTCACAAGCATTATAATCAAAGATGGATAATAGCTAACAATGAAGTCCAAGACTTGTCAGCTGACGAATCTCAAATAAGGTGAAACGTGCGTCGTGGATTTCACTGCTAGTCATTACCCATCTTTGCTTGAACTAGCCGACACTTCTGTATATTTTCTCACTATGAAACTGTCTATGTGGTTTTATGAATGAATTATTATTCTGATCGTTCAAGTAAATCATCAAGATTTCAATCAAATCAACGTCTTCTTTTCTTTCAATAAACCACATAGATCATAATACTTTTTTTTAAATCGGAATTCTATCGAATAACCAATTCACTGTTTTAATACAGTTATTTAGAAAACAATTTTTAATCCAACATCTCAACTGAACATAACTGATTCATTAGTTTACACTTTAGAATTTACTTAAGCTTTCTATCAATTTGTTAGGCTAACATAACATTTGAGCTATTTGCATATAAGTAAAATGCTAAATACGTCTTATCTATTAAGCTTATTGCTAGACTAAAAAAAGACTCCAATTGCTTTTATCACTTAGAGCATAATAGATAAGTGGTAATGCGGCTGACAAATATTTTTAAAAAAAATACTTTGTTAATCAGATGTCTAGAGTATTTGCCAAGCTATAATGAATCTAGATTTAAAACTCATTATCAGTGATCTATGACTTTGATACTTGTTGGCATCGGTTAAAAAGTTACTAGAAATACAATGTTTTTTTTTAAATTTCGCGAATACCCTTTGCTGGTAAATACCGATCAGTACATAACTCAAATTCAGTATACCAATTGTTTCAATACATTATTCATTAGGGTATAGCTCATGCTTATATCGAGTTAATTAGTTTGGAAACCACACTACAATCTGAATAATAAAATACCATCAGAAATTATAACAAGAAAATATAAGATAAGACAATTATCGATGTTCTCAACCACATCTTTCCATTTGGTATGAATAGCTTGAGACAATATATTCCTTTTAAAAATAATATGGAAATCTAAAATGTCCAAATGCATGTCCACTATGTATATTTATACTACTCGTTTTCGTTTACTGATCAAGTAGTAACTTCAATCATAATGAAAATTTTACTTTTCTTAAAATTATGAATGTTAGGATCATTTTAAAATTACCAAAGTATATTTAAATGTCTAATTAATTCATATTCTATTATGTAACATATTGAAAAGTGTTTTATTAACAGATTCTAAATATAAACAATTTCTCTCTTACAATATACTTTAATCAGGTGACTTAAGTTTCTTTACTTCAAGTCTTCTTTGTCATTTACAGTAATCACTTCAACTTTCCAACTTTTAAGTGGCTTAGCATTCACTAAAATTTATGATATTTCAAAGTTTCATAAATATTAAAAGTTCACTTATACTTGTTTTGATTAGTTATTATGTATTGTCAAAACAGGGAATCAGAAAGATAGACTTAAAATAAACTTTAGGCTTGCTGTATTCCTAGCTAATAAGTAGTAAGCATCATATCAAATCAATATTTAATTCATATAAAGAATCCTGAAGTTCTAGTGAAAAGCCGTAGCCAGTGGAGATTAATTCATGTCGAGTGTTAGACAGTTGTCCACCTTAAATAATGAATGAAAGGTTGTACAAGATCATAGACCGATTGAAGTTACACATTGACACTATTGGATAGTAGTCAACTCAGTGGTCTGAAGGTTAAGTGATCGTACACGAAACCCAGGCACTGGGTTCAAATCCTGTGCGTGAAATCGTTTGTGTGCACTTCTGAAACGTCGCATACTAGTACAAAAAAACCCATTCAGTGCTTTCAGGTTTTCAATAGTCGTCTATCCTAAATCGATTAGTGATTACAACTGTGAAAATACTACAATCTACACAAATCCCTCTACTTACAATCCAAGTAGACTTTATATTTTATCTAAAGGTAATCGATTCATATCGATACATATTTCATATCTTCAAAATTTCTAGTCAAGATACCTTTTTTTTCTTTTAATTGTCATTGGTACATTTAAAAAACTTAAATGATTGTTTACTTTAAATTACTTAGTACAATAATTACTTGTCACTTAACTTTATGAATAAATGAATAAGTAATAAAGTAAAATTTAATTATTTTATCTATTACATAACAACTAAGAGATTTCGACATAATTATCATTGAAAATTGATTACAGCTGATAAATCGTTGCTAAGGGGAAAAAACGATAATTAAGATGAAAAACTGAACAACTGTTGTCATATATAGTTTCTAAATCCTTAAAATATAAAACTATTATTGTATTTTTACTAGTGTTCAGTTAAAGTTAATCTTAAATTTTTTTTAAAAAGAAAAGAAAAAGGAAATATTATTCTTTATAAATAAATAAACATTAAATTCTAAACTCTGTTCAATTAATTATAAGCAAAAATGGATATTGACTAGCAGTGGAATATAGGACCCGTGCTTCGTCCTATTTGGGACTGGTCAGCTGGATGCACGTGCATCTCAGAGTTGATGTTCACTCTGAAACTCGAACCCACTACCGTTCGCTTCAAACGCCATCACGTTGTCCAATTAGTTACTGAGTCCTGAAAGCCACTTGCTTATGGGATGGGGTAAAGTTAAAATTCACTTAGTATTGTTTGTTTGAATTATCCCGTTCATGTTTAGAACTGCAATTGATTACGGCTATATTGAAGCAATGCGCACAGTATGCACATATGGCTAATAAGAGACTGATCCATTGCAGCCCTAAACATCAATGGGAAGATTCAAACAAACAATACCAAGTGGATCTGTTAAATTCATTTCAATTGAATTTTCTTGATAAATAATATGTGGAAAAATCAATCAGTATAAAGTTATTTCATTTAAATTATTTAGTGTATTTTTAGTGTACTACTTATAAATAAATAGGAAAAGAAATAGAAAAGAGTTCCGAAATCTGTTTAAATAATTATGATTATATTACAAAATAAATTATTAATACCTAGTTGTAAGCAAATATGATGACCGAACAAAATGCAATGCCAAATATAATAAATTTTACAAGAATACAAAGTCTTCAGTAATGAATACATTCGCTGAAAAGTAGTATAATAATATATTTGTAGTGAAAATAATTTGTTCATCTCTATCAACAAATAGGTGATAATCAGTATCGGGGTTGTGAAGATTATTAAGTTTTTGATTGAGTTTTGTTCTCTGAACTGGATGAATTGGTCGTGGAGCCTGCATTGTCCTTCTGAACAACATCATCAGCACAAACTTCGGATAGAAGTAAAGTGTTCGAACTTCTCCACATGTGGTTCACAACATGTCCTGTAAACCTCGACGTTGATTGGTTCTCTTTTACCTTAAATTTGTCATTGTTTACTTTGTTGTTTTAGCTGTATCTCTCACTGGTTTGATTTTTGTGTACAGGACAAGCTGTGAACCAGATGTGAAGACATTCGGACACTTCACTTCCACCCGAAGTTTGCGCTGATGATGACGTTCAGAAGAACGATGAAAGCTACACGGCCAAACCATTTAGTTAAGAGAACAAAACTCCATCAAAATCATGTACCTGAGCTACGAATCTTCTCCATCATCTCAAAAAAGATCATTAAGTTTTTGATTGATGTTAGACCACCATTGAAAATCTGAAAGCACTGGACTGCTGTTTCGTCCTTAGCACTGCACGTCCACTATCTCATGTGCTCATTAGTGACTAGATTCGTGAGGGGATTCTCGGAGTTCTAGTGAGAAGCCGTAAACAGTGGAGCTAATCCGTGTCGGGTAGAAACAGGTATCTACCTTATTATAATTGAAGATGGTCGTAAAATCTCGTGGATTGATTAAACTTATACATTAGCAACGTTGGATGCCCCTGAGCTCAGTGGTCTAGAGGTTAAGTGCTCTGGCGCGAGCCTGAAAACCTTGGGTTCGGATCCCATGAGTGAGATCGTGAATGAGCACTACTGAGAAGTCCCATAGTAGGACGAAACGGCCGTCTAGTGCCTTCACATTTTTATTAGTGGTTTGACACCAATCGGTTCATGATGTCAATCGAAAGTCGGTGATATCTGAACTATCATTCAATCTTCTATTAAGAATGGTAAATAAAAAAGACGAATTACTCATATGAATATTCAGTTTGTGAAAACAAGGTATTTATGTATTTATGTGTGTGTATCGGTCTATTGTAGATGAAATGAAATTCCCAGATATTGAACACTGAAGATAACTACAAATGAAATTGTGCTAAGATAATTAATATTTACTAGGCCTTATAAATAATGTGCCAAAATGGCTACTTTTTTCGTAAATGTAGAATTGTTTTATCACCATTTGTCAATTTCTTATATTTTAAAATTAACAGTACACCAAATAAATAA